TGGTAATACTACTTCTGATTCAGCTTGTGAGAAACATAAATTGTTTCTTCCTTCAATAAATATTTTAAGGAATTATAAAAATTAAACTTTTGCACACATCGTAGGAGAATCTAAATCTTAGCAAAGCCAGCATTTAAGAATGGTTTCCACCATCAAATAAATATCCAATAGTGCAGCGGGCTATCCTCTCATCCTAATCAACGCACGTAACACTAACATGCCATATAATAAGCCACAAAAAAACTTTCAAAAAAATATAAAATCAATCCCAACTGCATACAGAGTGTACAAATTTATGTAGAACTAATAATTAATAAATAGCCAAACACATATATTGAAAAATATCAAATATATACAGTACTACAGAAAAAGTTATAGGCAGTTTGTGAAAAAATGCTGTAAATTAGGAATCGCTATCAGAAACAGAAGTGTTAAAACAGAAGTAATGGGATTGTGTTTTTTTCTCCAATTTTTATGCAGCGCCACCCTCGTAAGGGCCACTGGTATTTTTTCCCAGGTCTCCTTTCTTGACCCGCAGCCAGGCACAAAGTATCTTCCACAGCCAGATACACACACACCTACTCGATGTCCTTCAATGACCAGTCAGAGGACGCTTATTTTTTGGACTTTTTAATTGTAGAACAGGGGATAGGGAAGAAGAAAGTAGTAGGATACTCCAAAAGTAGAACTCTCCACACTGAGAACATCTAGCTGATTTCTTAGTTGAGCATTGTTGAAGAATTGGCTAAAAGCAGATAGCAGACTTCTCTTAGATTGTAGCAGCAAGTAGTGAGCAAAGTCCTTTTTTTTGCAGTAGTAGTAATTACAGGGTTGAGCGCCTCAGGTATAGAGCCAGTTACGACAGATTGCGACAGCCCGAAGGTAATGGTAGCTGAGCAAAGTCCTTTGTAGCCTGAGCAAAGTCCTTTGTAGTAGCAACAGTTGGTCCAGCTCTACAGAACACTAGCCCAGTGTTACCTTTCCCTCTCTTGACCCATGCTGACTATCAAGCACCACAGAGGAGGTGCAAGCACACAGAGTCCCCAAATTCCTCAATGTCTGTACTCACAAAGGCCGAAGGACAGAATGGCAGCCTCCTTCCAATCCTCCAAGCGAAACCCTCCAGTGATCCCAGACATAGCTTTGGCAAACAGCTCCCCTCACTCAGCTTACTGTAGAACCAGTGTCACTCTCTCCAGCTTTAAGCCCTCTGGTCGACCCACCTGAGGCCACATGGCAGCCAGTGTCAGGCTAGGCAAGCCTACTCCAGCCTGGCTTGTTCAATCCCATGTACTCACAGAACATAAATATCACTCCCAGCATACCATGAGACTGTCCTCCTTGCAATTGGCCAGGGCTGTATCCATAATTCATACTGCTCATTTGCCTAGTTCTCTGCCTGGTTCTGTAAGGCTCTCTCATATCTTCCTGAAGGCGGGAAGAACTCAAGGCAAACTCAACAGCACCAGAGTATAATAAGCACTCTGTTTGGGGTCATTGTCCTGCTGCAGAATAAATTTTTGGGGTCTCAGTCGCATGCATCCATGATAGTATAGTATGATGGACAAGCATCTGTCTGTAATTCTCAGCATTTGAGGACAGCACTGATCCTGACCAAATCTCCAACTCCATTTGCAGAAATGCAGCCCCAGATTTGCCATGGCAACATGTTTTCACTGTTGCCTAAAGACCACTATTATTGTACTGCTTCTCCCAACCCTATCTCGGCCTAACAAACTGCCTCCTGCTACAACCAAATGAAACGTTAGATTTTGACTCATCAGTCCAAAGGCACCTGCTGCCATTTTTCTGCACCCAATGTTTCCTATATTTCTATGCATAGTCGAGTCACTTAGCCTTGTTTTCCCATGTTGGTGGTAATTTTTGGCTGACAATTCTTCCATGGAAGACCACTTCTGGACAGACCGTCTGTGGAGAGTAGATGGGTGTTAACTGTGAGATCCGCACCTGATTTTCCGCCAGTTCTGTGTTGATGGCACTGTTTGGACATCTTCCAATGTTGACGGAGAAGGTAGGCAATTATGTGGTCTTTCTTCATCTGCTGCATTAGGTTTACTTGGCCTGACCACTGCCTTCTATCGATCCTCAGCATTGTCCCTTAGACACAAGGTGCAGCACAAGCATGCCAAAGACAATCAAATTGATCGCTGCACATTGAGTATACAGTGACATGCCCACAGGGATAAACAAACATAAATATCTAATTTTTTTAGATACCCAAAATTTCATAGGGTGGATATGTCTGGAAAGTTACTTACTGGTGGTTTTAAATTGTACTGTAAAAGCAGTTAAAATAGAAATAAGCAAAAACCATTATAATTTCCCATTTAAAAATTTCTCTTGTGTTCCACTTTGATGTGTTTGGGGGCCAATGCCACTAGCTGATGATGACCTAGGCACATAACCTTACATTATCATCAGCATTAAAGTTCATCTGCTAGTTCATACATATGCCTTTCAAGGCATGTATTTAGCTGCTTTTATTGTGAGTGCTGAGGAATGTGTCTGTAGTGGTTTTAAGTAAAGATCTCTGACATCTCTAGAGCCTCATATAGATTGTGTCATGTGCTGTTAATATTTCATAAAGCTACTGCATTACAAGGTGGGGGTGCACACCAAGCTATTGTTTCTCAAAAAGTCCTTTTTACACCACACACATGGTTAATTCTGTATCATATAGATTGTGATTGTGAGATTCTGAGATATAAACACTGTAAAATATAAATTCAGTCAGTCTTCTTTTGCTCCTTGGTCATTAATTCAATTTTTTGCATAGATACAGTATGTTCGAAAACTTTTATCACTGACAACAATAGCCACATTTTTCAGGCTCTTTGTCACACTTCTCATTGCTTATTGGGTAGGCGGTCGTAGTAAAGAAGGAGCTAGCTACTAAGTGGTTCAAAACAGAAAGAAATGAAATTGCAGGAATTACCCCACAAGTGGGAAAATGTACACACATTCCATTTGGCCTAAAAGAATTTAGGAAGCATAGAATTCCAGTGTATCAATTCAGGTGGCCCAAAACACACATATCTCATGTTACTAGAACATACGCTGAAAAAAATTGGACAAAAAAAAAAATGATTTGGAAACAATCATCTGATAAATTCTATTCGTTAGTACACAGCTTTTCAAGACCCGATCACGACAGCTCGTGAAAAAATATCCGAAAGGACAAGCACGAAAAATTTTCTCGGAAGATAACACGAACAAATTATTTACTTGTAATTAGTATCGTATTTGTATGACGCAGACGACCGCGCATGCGTCCAAAAGTGAAAGAATACATTACAATATACTACAATACATGGGGAGAGGGAGGGGTAAAATCTAACACACAACAACATAATATGGCTGTACCTCCATACCTCCTCGGCCTGTGAAATATCAGTATTAACAGAAAGGCTTCTGTTCCCCAATCTATACTATTGAAATAGACACAAATGCTGGAGTCCATCTATGATTTGTTATTATATTTTGATTGGTATTTAAAAGGCAAGTTATCCAGAGCCAGAATATCCCCACAAGATCAAAAGGACGCTAATGCGTTTTGGCCAAATTATTAAGGCTTATGCCAAAATGAGTTAGTATCTTGTTGAGCTTGTGGGATACTCTGGATCTTGGTAACTTGCCCTTCAATCAATTAAGTATTATAGCATAGTATACATTTGTTAGTCCTGGCTGAAATTGAAAAAAGACAAATGTCCATCTAGTTCAACCATAAATACCAACCAAATAATATATATTTATATAATCCTACACCCACAGTTGATCCAGAGGAAACAAAAAAACCTCAGCAAAAAGCATGGTCTAATTTGCTCCTGTAGGGGAAAAAAATCTTTCCCTGATCCCCCCAAGAGGGCAATCGATATTCCCTGGATCAACTTTAACTATAAAATGTTAGTATCCAGTTATATTCTGTGTATCTGAGGAAAGAATCCAGGCTTTTTTTTAAAGACAATCAATCCACTGAGCTGGCCAGAACCAACTCTTGAGGGAGTCTATTCCACAATTTTCACAGCTCTTACTGTGAAGAAACCTTTCCGTATTTGGAGATAAAATCTCTTTCCCTCCAGATGTAAGAGTGCCCCCCTTGTCCTCTCTGTGATGACCTCAAGAGTGAATAGCTCTACATCGAGTTCACTATATGAACCACTGATGTATTTATACATGTTGATCATATACCCCCTTAATCTCCTCTTCTCAAGAGAGAATAAATATCCAGTTCCTCTAATCTTTCCTCATTGATGAGCTCCTTCATGGACTCTTATCAGTTTGTTTGCCCTTCTCTGTACTTTCTCTAGTTTCCTCACTTATTCTTTTTGTTTAATTGGTGCCCAAAAACTGAACTGCATATTCCATTGTAGATGAGGATTCCATATAAGGATTAATAGACAGACTGCAGCATCAATCTAACACCTAAGAGCTTGGTGACATAAGAAAGGAGTGTACTGATTTTTCGTTATTGTCCAAATCACAGGCTGAGGATGGTTGGTGATCAAAATAAATTGCTTGCTTGCAATGGAAAAAAAGTAAGGCCACTGAACTGGCTGTGCTGTTTGGCAGTGAAATCAATAGACTGTTCGAACACAATTAAAATGTTTTGTATGGTAAAACTGTTTACATCCATCATCGTTGTGTTCCTCAAACCATTCTCAAAGCATTCTTGCAGTGTAGCAGGGTTTATTATTCTGCCAAAAAAAGCCACTATCATGGCCACTACCATTTGGGAATACTATTTTCATGAAGGGGTGTACTAGGTCAGCAACAATATTTAGGTAGGTCAAGTAACATCCACATTACTGGTAGAACCCAACATTTCCCAATAAAACGTGGCCCAAAGCATAACACTGCCTCCTCTGGCTTGCCTTCTTCCCAAGCTGAATCCTGGTGTCATCCCTTCCCCAGATAAGCAATACACACCGGTCATCCACATGATGTAAAAGAAAATGTGATTCATCAGACCAGTCCACCTTCTTCCATTGCTCTGTGGTCCAGTTCGAATGCACACATGCCCGTTTGTAGGTGCTTTTTGGCTGTGGACTTGGTTCAGCATGGACACCCTGACTGGTCTGCGACCAGGGGCGGACAGACAATTTGGAAACTCTGGCACTGCCCGAGGGTCCGGGGTCAGTAGGGGGCCCCAAAAGATGCCCCTGGTACCTTTTTCATAGGCTTTTTTGAGTTTGAGCAAGGACACAGGGGCCCAATGATCTCCTATTGCCCGGGGGCCCCATGAGTTTTCAGTCCGCCCCTGTCTGCAACTACACAACCCCATACACAACAAACTGCGATGCCAAATTTTTTCTGCTTTCAAAGCATCAGCTTCATGGACAACATGTTTTCTTGCTGCCAAATATAACCCACCGACTTTCAGATGCCAAATGTTATTCACTTTACCTGTCAGAGATCCTAATGGCTGATCGGTGTATTTGTATGTCAACTGTGTACTGTAGCTGTTGTCTTGGAGTTCAGTGCAGTGCATGGTCAACCTTATTGTATGTTTCAGTGACTGCATTGGTGCTCAACTGAACAAAACAACACAGATGGGTCGTATTCACACTTGTTTCTCTGATTGGGCAATCTAGAAGACCCTGGGACTTGTGACACAAATCCGAGTGTCTGGAAATAAATGTCATATGTGCTTTGCCTAAATAACTAACTCATTTTTTTGCTGTGTTTGCCTTTATGGTGTGCAGAATTTTGCAGTTTAAGCAATCACCTCTATATAGAGAAGAGTGCGGAAACGGTTACCATTATCACAATGGTGTTTGTAGAAATTCTTATATGAGTCCTTTAAACAAACAGCGTGATCAATAATCTAATGTTCCATAGTGAGGCTCTCAGTGACTGGGGGATGGGCACAGCATTTCAGATACAACTGACTCTTTGCTTTCACAGCCTTAGGGAGACGACTAAAATTCTACAAAGTATTTATATATTATGTATTGCGTGTATCACCATATATCTACAGTCTCTCTAAAGTATTAGTCCTCATGCACAATGGGCTTTTTTACAGCTCCTGTTTTGGGCGTCATACTTTTTTTTCTACAGCTTGTAAACTCCCCAGCATGTTATCCTATGTGTCCATGCACACATAGGCTTTTATCAGCGTTTTTTTTGGCAGGGGCATATTCAGGCTGGAGGAAAACCCCAGAACTACTGTGTTTGAAGAGCTGTAAAACACTGAAAAACACTGAAAACCGTGGTTATCTGGCTTTTATGAGCGTTTTGAGCCTCAGGCTTTTGTGGGAGTAAACGCGATAAAATCCATGTATTTTTAACGCTGCATTCTATAGCTAAAGCTACTGGCGTTTTTTATAGCATCCAGTGTGCATGAGGCCTCAGGATTTATATGCAAATCTGTTTACTCTAAATATGAATTTTATATAGTAGTTTTTCAGACTGTAAGCTGTAGCTCCATGTTCAGTAAATAATGCAAATTCAATATATTTTCCATCAATGAGGTTTACTAGAGAACAATGGTGGATTTCCACACAATATAGCAACAATCACTAAACTTACTTAGCTTGAGGTTGTACATTCCTAAAGTGGAGTTCCAGTTGATTTAAAAAAAAAAATAAAAGTCAGCAGCTACAAAAAGTGTAGCTGCTGACTTTTATAATACAGTCACTTACCTGTCCCTCGGTCCAGCGGTGTTCTCACCACTGCTGGTTTCACCGGCCGTCTTCTCTCCCCGGCGCCGCCATCTTCAGTGTGGACACCTGGCTGTGACAGCTTGCAGCTTCACAGCCCACTGCGCTTTCTGAATGGTCCCGTAGTCTTCTGGGACCTGTCACATGTCCCAGAAGACTACGGGGAGGGAGGGGGGAGGACAACCTTCATTTCCAATCGCCTTAGGCGATCGCACCGGAAGTGGGAGCGGGTATCTTTCAAATTTGGGTACCCTCTCCCAATCCCCCCCACCCCGGCTCCCCAAAGGTGCCAATCATTAACGGGGAGTGACGGACAAAGCATTAAAGTGGAACGTACCCTTATGGGTGGAGCTCCGCTTTAAAGAGTTTGGTTTGGTCTGCTCAGAGCTTCACAGTCTGAAAGTTTGATTACCTTCCCCTGCCTCTAGCCACTTAAGGACCAAGCTTTTTCTGGCACTTTTTTCACATGTAACAACAGTTTTTTTTTTTTTGCTAGAAAATTACAACTTCCGCTTCTAAATGCCTTAGGCAATCGCAGTGGAAGTGGGAGCGTGTACCTGTCAAGTTCGGGTACCCGATCTCCAAAGGTGACAATATTTAACAGGGAGCGGGAGACCATGCATTAAACCAAAACTTCCCCTTTTGGGTGGAGCTCCGCTTTAAGCTGGCTACACATTATACAATTTTCTTGTTCAATTTCCTTTAGATTTACCTTCAATTTTGTAGTGCAAGGGCCTGTCTGATTGAATACAATGTGAAAGTGTTTAGGTCTGACCTCATATTATATGGTTTTGGTAAATCTAAAGGTTCACATTAGAATGTGGTGCAGAAAACCCATGATTTGTGCATTTTTCCCTCATCACACTGCTCTTGCAATCTGCAGCAGGTGTCACTGCAAGCATAACGACACCACAAATGCAGTTTGCAAACGCAGTATGTTTACCTGCACCAGATTGTATGGTACAAAATGACCATGCAATCTAGTTGCAGTTCCGGTTCTAAAACTGGTTCATGCATGATTTTGGTGCAATGTGGTGCAATTTGAGCCCATTCAAAATAAATGGGCTCAAATCGGACTGCACTGAATTACATGTGAATTGCACAGATACGCGGTGTGATTCCTGTGCTATGAAGATGCAGTTCATAGTGTGAACCAAGGCTTCGTTTTTTTTTTTCCCTGATTGAAACATAATTTAAGGAGTTTTATGTGCAAATCCAACAAAGCAGTCCAATATTTTAACTTATAAGTGAAGTTAAAGTGTAAGATAATGTGCACAGGCAGGGCTTTACTTGTAGAAGGGACACGTCTTTTCTACAAAGAAATAAACTTACCTTCTTGGTCACAGTCTTTTTCAACATGGACACAGCCCAAGTCTGTGAGCCGGAATGACTGAACTCATCGTCATCCTGCGCTAGCCAATCAAGACAGCTGAAGACCTACACTTGGAAGAAGCTGGGGAAAAGATGCCAGCACCGGTGAGAGACCTCGTCCACTTGAGCAATAACATGAAGAAGCTTCAAGCTGGCCATAGACGGTTCAAATCCCAGCCGGTTCAGCAGGGAGCAGCTGAGATTCAAACCATGTATGAGCAGGCTGAATCAGGGGCGGACTGACAACTCATGGGGCCCCCGGGCAATAGGGGATCATGGGGCCCCTGTGTCCTTGCCCAAACTCAAAAAAGCCTATGAAAAAGGTACCAGGGGCGTCTCATGGGGCCCCCTACTGACCCCGGGCCCTTGGGCAGTGCCCGAGTTTCCAAATGGTCAATCGGCCTTGGGCTAAATGTACCCAAGTTGATCGATCGAGCAACTTGGGTACAACCAGCATGTCCGATTTTACCTGTGATTATTGCTAGTGACTATTATAGTCATTAGCAGTCATCACTCTGTTCTCCCAGCGGCGATGGCCCCCCTCTGCCAGTTGAACACAATGGCTACGTGGGTGGGATTTTCTCATCAACACTGAATGTGTTGATGGGGGAATCGAGCAATTTTCTTTCCTGTTACTCGTGGTTGCAGGAAATAAAATCATTCCATATATGGCTGGCTTTAGTCAGTGGGCGTAATTAGCTTTCTTGTCATCAAATCAATAAAAGATTATTTCTAATTGGATGCTATCGGTTATTATATTTTGCAGGTCGCCCTTATATTATACATCCTGCTATGTGGCTCCCTGCTCTCTTTAGCTATCCACTTTAAATACACATTTTATGGTCAGTGTCACTTCTGCTGAATCCTTTGTATTTACCAGCACGAGGTGAAAAAAACAATAGCATCCCAATAGAGACTGTTTGACAAGATGGAGAGAATACATGGAGATATATAAAGCATTTTTCCTTTTTCCAATTCATTTCAGACTTGCAGGGAGCCCTATATTGAGTAAATCAATACATTGACCAATTTCCATCATTTACAATTCATTACATGGATGTAGAGGCTGTGGCTGCATCTCAAATATCTCTAGAAATAACTCTGTATCCAGTATGTAAAAAAGCATCCGATAAATCCACGTATTTGCCATTAATAGGGTTAACGGAGAACTTCACTTAGTATAGCAAGCACCAGTAACTAACATAGCATCAGGCTGAAGACACTTAGCCTTGGTTCACACTGAATGTGGCTTTGAAATCATGCTACTTCACTTGAATTCAATTACAAAGCCGCTGGTCAGTGTGATTTCATGTGTGGCTTGCCTGATATCTGTGCGACTTCACTGTGCACTCCAAAAATAGTGCAAGAACCTTTTTTTAAAATCAGTTGGAGTTGCACTGATTTGAAAGGTTCCATAGGCCCAAATAGGGTGCAACTTTTCATGTGATTTCAAACTGTCAAATTGCATCACAAATCACATTGGTGTGAACGGGGCTAAGAGGAATAATCGAGTTTATATATCCCCTCGGACCGGTTGGAGCATTTTCCCCTAATTGAAGCAGAACTTCACTTTTGCTCAATGAGCTTCTTCAGGACCAGTTGAAGATTATGCAGGCAGGTAATTGCTCACTATATTGGTCACATATTAGGCCTATATTGTGTATTGTATATATATATAGGTTTTTAGGATCATGCAACTCATTCTGGAATTTGCAATTGTTTGCAGCACAGGCTACATGGTGTATATGCAGAAGATATTAATAAAGGTGGTTTGCTACAGACTGTACATTCCAGCATTTAAACATACACCAACCAAGACTTGCAGTGTCTAATATAAAAATGTGATTTTCCCCACAGCTTTTGGCTACATTTTGAACATTCCGCAGTGAGTTTTATGCTAGGGTATTGTACTAGACATGCACAGATCTCTGTGCTCATGCCCAAATGTTCTAGCACCAGTCATCATACAAGACTTTTTTACACTCAGAATTCAGATTAGTAAATATGTGTACATATTGGTCAAAAAAGTCCACTTCACTCTTCCCAGGACATCTTGCTCTCTAGCTCCCTTGTTACCTCCTCCCATGCTCACTTTCAAGACTTATCTATAACCTCTCCCATTCTCTGGAACTCCCTACCCCAGTATGTCCGGTCAGCTCCTACCCTGTCCAATTGTAGGCGATCCTTGAAAACTCATTTATTGCAGGGAAGCCTATGCCGCCTCCACCTAAAAACTGTACTTGAGTCACCTCCATCAGACCATCCCTTGCAGCTATTTCCTTTTGTACCACCTCACCCTTCTTTTAGATTGTAAACTCCGCAAGCAGGATCCTCCTATTCCTTCTGTACTAAATGTATTGTAATTGTACTCTCCCCTTTATATTGTAAAGCGATGTGCAAACTGCTGGTGCTATATAAATCCTGTATAATAATTTGCTGATTTATTTATACAATAGCATAGTGAAAAGAGTTTTTGATACACCTTTTAGCTTGGTGAATCCACATTAGGTCAGGTCGTGGGCACTTTTCTCAGCTTTTCTGCAACTATTTTTCCCTTGCTCATTAATAGGTGCACCTTATGGAAACAGGAGGCAGAAAAGTAATATATACTGGATGTTAAATATACACGGCTAACTAGAACCTCACCATATGCATCAAACTGTGCGATCAGCTAGATAGGTTTATGAACTGTGACTGTGCAAAGGTCTGCACATTCACTCAAATATGCAAGCTAGGACTTCAATCATACCTTCACGACTATTACTGACTTTATTTTTTTGGTAAATCAGCCTCACTGTGTGTGAAGCTCAGGAGATGCTATGCTGGAATGCAAACTTATTCTAACTAGGAAACTTTTTGCAGCTGAGGCAGTGGATTACCTCTGATACTGCCATAAACTACCAACCACTGACCGCAGCTTTTGATGAGATATCAGCCCAGCTTTCTAAGAAAGATCAGTGGGAACCTAAACTGTAAATAGTGACAAAGTGGCTGGTACCATTATTGAGCAATAGAAAGTCTCTTAAATATTCTTTAAAAAGACAGAAAGTCCTTTAAAGGTAGTATATGACAGGTACATGGAGTTATCTTTAAGGACTGCCCCCTTTGACAAGCACTGCTGTCATCTACAATATGCATTTCTCTTATCTTTACATTGATATACGATTTGTAAAGAATCAATCAGAACAAGTGTGGCGTAAAACCATCCACCATTTACCGATTAAACGTAGACCTGAATGAAACCACAGCCATTTATCCTGATTTGGGAAAACCAGGGCACACCCCCTTTCCTTGAGTGACTTATGTAGCTGTAGCGCTACCCTCGTAAGTGGCTTGTGTTTCCAGATCTCCCTTAGCTCTGTACAACCAGGCAACACATTTTCCACAGAAAATTTACAGAAACAGATCCTGGACTGTTCTTTTTCCTGGAAAGCCATCAGTCTTTGTGAAACAGTAACAACTGCCCTTTATGGGTAGGGACTCGCAGCCCCCTTGAAAATTAGCTTAGCTTGCTGCAAAATACATGCAGAGATGTCTCCTCTCCCTTGTAGAACTGCTCCCAGCTCCATAGCCTGCAGACACTGCCAGCCCTACTGGCTGCTCTAAAGATCTCCCAGGACAAGGGTAAAGGATTAGGCACAAAGCTGTTCTTTGAAATCTTGAAACTTGTGGAAGTCTCTCCCCTTGTAAATCTCTGAGTGTGCTGATGTACTCACTCTGTCCTCCTTGCTCCCTCTGCCTCACAGGCCTTGATCCTGTTCAAGCTACACTGCTGAATGGACCCTCCTGAGCTAGCCCGAGCCCAGCCTGGAGGCTTGCCCCCCTTGACCTAGGGGACCATTCCCAGGCCACCAAAAGTCTCCTCAGCACTCCATCTTCCACCCCACTCCCCTGCCAGCCTGACTCTCCCATATTTATGGGCTAGTCCACCGCTCTACCAAGGCCTCCAAAACTAGGATTGGTTAGACTCCCATAAACATGCAGATAGGTCTCCACCTCTTCTGCCTACTGGCTTCTAGAAGGTTCCAGTGGTCCTCCAGAACCAAGTGGAGGTGATAGAGTCCCAACCTGTTTAGCCATCCAGCTTGACCTGCACTAACCCGAACTTAATCACAAACTTACAGAGTTACCATGCTTTCAGGGTCTTGCAAGGCCTCATGTGACTTGCAGTTCCTCAACACCTGGAGGACCATAGTTTGGAGACCCCTGAATTAAAGAATAGCAATGGGTATATAAACACAAAAGCAAAAATAAATTATATTGCAGATTACAAGTCTAGAGATGGTTGCTGAAGTAGTTTTCTTTTCTCAGGCTAAGTACATTTTCTGCAGGTAAAGAAAATACCTGTTGAATACTAGGGTCCATGTAATGTCCTTTGCACTAAACAATGATACCTTCTATGGACTACACAACCACTCCTCCCAATGTAATATGAATGAGCGGATGAGGATATGTTTGTAGTCCAGATCAGGAGAAAAGGCTAGGGTGACAACGCTGCTCCTCTGCAGAGAGAGTACAGTGAATGAGTGTTGTCACCATAGGACAGAAAGTATGTTACTGGTAGGATCACTAAGTCAAAATAAAGAAAAAAAGGATGAAAAAATTAATAAAGCATGCACATCTAAAGACTGGTAAGCTGCAATATGTTACATTTTTAAAATATATATAGGATGAAACCAGCCCATATCCCCGCGCTCAAGAAAATGGTGAAAATATTGGTATATGAAAATAAAAAAAAAATTATTAAAGCAGTAAAAAATGAATACAGCATTCACATCTAAAGACTGGTAAGCTGCAATATGTTACATTTTTGTTTCTAGGTTTACATGTATTTGTAAGGAACAAAACAATCTGCAAGTTGCAGGGGGCCAATGAGGCTGTACAGCATGTGCTGTAACCAACAAATGTCTTTACTGTGTAACATTCTGACAACAAACCCATTAAATGGGCATTACAAGACTATAGGCACATGGAGCAGCTTGATTTTTATAGAGCTGACGGAAATGTGTCAATATCAAGAGGCACTGCTAAGAGATTGATGTCATGCATCAGTAGGTAAGAGCTGCACTAATTATCACCTGTCACTCTTCATAATGAACCCGAAGAGATGAGGTAATCCATCATCCTGCGCTGGCATGGGCACCTGCAGCCGCCAGCCTTGGGAGAACTACATGTCCCAGCACACTGCACCAGACCACTATGAGCTTTATGCCTGTTGGGTTATGTTGGCCTTAATATAGAAAGTGTACATGATCTGCAATGGTTTTATACAATAAAAGACATCCTTTTTAGAGCACAGGATATTTATGTGTCTTATTATGTTACATCATTTTAAAATGAGAGGATTGTTCTTTATTTCAGGACAGAGTGAAAATCATATGCTCATTGACTCACTGTAATTTTGAGATATGCTATGGA